GCTCCAAATTCAGACTCTGGAGTGTAAAACATGCAGCATATGGTCAGGCTGGCAGAAAAGCCTGACGGTGGCCACAGAAACAGACTGCAGCACAGTGTCAGCAGGAGCTCGATGCCAAGCACTGCTCCCACTGCCAAATCCCAAAAAGTCCCCATTAGACACTGCCTACAGCCCCACACCAGAACAAAGGGCTCCCAGAGACACCAGCCATAAGGGGGTGCAGGCAAGGACTCAGCCCTAAAGCAAACTGCTCCCTTGGACTGCCATCAATATTTTCCATTTGAAAAGCCAAGAAACTGCCCTGATGGCAGAGATCCTTATCAGCTAAATTCCCTTCCTGCTATCAGACTCACGAAGGGATCAGAGAGAGATCTGTGGTAATTAAAAATGAARRAGATCAAATTAGTAAAGCACATTCCCAGCTGTCAGGAGTGATTCAAAGGTCTGGATTTTGCTGAGGGAGGCTCTCTGTCTGCCACCCCCACCTCCATTTTTGGACCCTACCTCCAGAACAGTATTGGGAAGGTTCATGGAGGGAACATCTTAAATGGGAAGCAGAGGACAACCAGAGCAGCTCTAGGAGTGATAAATATTGCCTTTTTCCYAGCCAAGAACTTTCTGGACTTTTAATGCATCTCACCACAGGAGCCCTTGCGACTGTGATGTGGCAGCATCAAAAATGTGACTCAGCTCTGAGCAAACAGAAACGTGAGAGAGGTGTCCAAGCAGTCTGGTGTGGCCATGGTCTGTCCAGGGGTAGCAGAGCCCCACAGAGTGACCACTGAGGCACCACACCACGCTGAATGGGAAAACACAGGTCTGAAAGTGGTGATGACTGCAGCCCCACAGAGCAAGGAGAACAGAAAAAAATAGAGGGGAGTGAAACACAGAATAGGGTACTTTGTACCTGCAGAGCTGTTACTGCAGCTCCCCTCCCAGATCTGGGTCACTGCATAGCAGGAYCTCCTACTGCACCACAGAAACCTCTCATGTGAGGCTCCTTCCTCCTTCCCACTGACCACCTGGATGGCAGAGATGTGGAGGGCAGGAGGGTGGCAGGAGGGGAAGGTGGGGCATTGTGCTGCCCTGTGCTTCGGGCAAGAAAAAAGAAAAAAAAAACCCTTCTTCTAAGTAAGCAGGTCACAAAGAAGTCAAAATATGACAGCCCTTTCTACTGTGAACCTCACGACTATTTCTCAGAGGACACTGTCTTCTCTGCAGGTAAACTTTGCTGATTAAATTTTTGAAGACTCACAAGCAGGGTAGAATCCTGGCAGGTTTTGGAGCCTGCAGCCGTTTCAGGGAATGTTGGGSCTGTGCTCAGCAGGACACAGTCAGCTGTGATTCGCAGGTCTCTGTGTGCTTCAAAATGCAGCAGAGCAAGCACAGAGATATCCGACCCAATTTTAAATGGGTTCATTCAAATGAAAAGCAGTAAAACACAACATCCTGAAAATGAGCACATCTCAAGACACCGACTGAGCTCTGGTGCCACAGTTCAATTGCTCCAGATATGGGAAGCACCTGAGCTAACACATTTTTAGCAATCTCAAATGTCTTTCCACTCCACTGGAGGCCACAGTCTAGACGTATTTAGAGAGCAGGAGACGTTTAACATATTGTTACACTGTCTTTCAAATTCCTAGTTCAGGCACAATTTAAAGAGAATGACTGCTGAGCATTTGGAAGAAGGAGAGGTTGGCACAGCATTCTCAGGATTCAAAATTAATGACAGACTGCACGTCACTTCTCTTTTCAGGGAGCAGGAAAGATCAGTGGCAGATATTCTCAAGTGGCAGCRCTTTTGTAGATGAAAACGACTGCAAACATCGTGAAGTCAGCAGATGTGGAGATGTGTTCCAAAAAGCCACACTTTCTCATACAGATTCCTCTATGTCATTGTGTCCACTGAGGGCTCGACCAACCTCAAGGAGACAAAAAAAAAAAAAAAAATCCAGCCCTAAGAGCTCATGCTGCTTTACAACTGCAGCTGCTTTACAAGTGCAACCCTCTTTCAAGAGCACAGATATTGTTGGCCACAGGATATCTCAGGACTAACAGATGCTGAACAAAAYTTCTGAAGATGAGAAAAAGCTGGAATTTGCCCTCCCCAGAGTAATTTTACTGTAGGTCCTGATTCTGCAGGTTGAAGGACCAAAGAAATACTTGGGAAGACTCCAAGATTCTACCAAATGCTAAAATGAGCCCCAGTGTCATGTCCGGGCATAGGGTAGGACCTGCGAGATGTAAGAGAAGCTGAATAAATTTGTAGAATGCCCAGAAAGACTCACCTCAGAGGATAAGGCATCATTCTGGCATTTCTTGAGAGACCTTGGGATAAAATAGCACTAGGCTTGARAGAAGGAGAGAGGGAAGGCATCTCAAGGAGCCATGAACGTGAGTTGTGTGCAATCCCTAGCCAAGCCTGCAGCACAAATCTCCCTCTGCACACAATCCACTAAGAACATGAGCTGTACAAGCCTCAGACACAGAACCTTTTGTCTTCCTTAGGCTGCAGAAATTSAKGCTTTTTGYGTAAGACATCCTTGGTCCAGCTGYYRTGCTGTCAGATGAGACAGAAGCCACCAGCTWAGAGAATTTGACCAGGAGATCCCTGTCAGCATTTTCAACACAACAACAGAGCCCCCCAAATGTGCAAACTCTACAGAGCTGTATGGCAGTCAGGTTTCAAAAGCTGCCTCTCCCAGTTTATCCTATCCACTGGAGAATGGACTGTCATACAAACTTTGTGCTGGTTAAAATATTTCACAATAAAAACCACATTAGCCAAGCTGGATGGGAGAAGGGCTCCCCACACATTCTTAGAGCGCTTGACTGCTGTTGACAGATTCATGTTTTCAGGCTGAAAGGTTGGTTGCTCTCTAAGCAAAAGGTGAAAGACTAAGAGATGAGAAACCTAAATTACTTTTGTCATCAGAACATAGCTAGCCAGCCCCTGAAGCCAGTTAATTTACTACAGACAGGGAAAAAAAAAAAAAAGATAGAACTTCAAGAGCCCAGGGAGATGAGATCTGAGGGCTTCAGTAAAAAAGCCAAATATCTGATTGCCTCTCTAACCAGCTGAATTGCCATGGGATTTAACAGCAACACTACAAGAAGGAGATGAGTTTTCCAGTGTATTTAAGAGAAACCCATATTTTGGTGTRTAATATCACAGCCCATCTACTGGGAACAGTTTTCACCTTGTCTAGCAGGGGGACAGATATTGAAAAGCCAGAGATTCATCTATTGTTATAAACCAGCTGAATTCTCATTGGAATTGATTTAAGACCAGAAACGGGCACAAATAATAGAAGATGAAGAGGGAAGTGAGCCATTTGTCAAAATATGTAGCAGAAACTTGAGGATAGTGTAATGTTGCTGGACCTTAAACCATTTATCACAAGATTTAAGAAGAAATAATGTGTGTCAGAAAAAACGAGTTATACCTGTGTTCTCCTGAGTACATCAAAAGTGGTTGTGCAGCAAAAGAAATAAAACTATCKGCTCCTTTATAGTGCAGGCAGCAAAAAGTGATAGGCTTGAAGTATAACAARGGACATTCAACAGCAGAAAAATCTTTAACAGGAGGGAAAATGAAAAGAACTAAATATATGAGCAAATACCTAGAGAGCTTCTGGGCTCTCCATCATGAGAGGWGCCTGAAAACAGTCCAGCCAAACATCAGCCATAAATGACAGTCACTGCCACTACAGCAATTTGGGCTGGAGGATGAATGATGGGATCACCTGAGGTGCTTCTCAGGTCTATATTTCTGTAATTGAAAAAGTGCATCCTAAGGATATACAAAGATAACCCATTTAAAACCTTGGAAACTAAACCCAAATACCAGGAAAGACACATTCTCAAATGATGCTTGCAAGCCGTCAGAAACCTTCCAGTGATCAACACTGCTACAGAAAACATTTATGTACTTCACACTGGAACATAAAGAAATGAAAATAAACCTCTGGAGGAGGAGAGTTAGAAGTGAGGAAATCTCACCCTGCTACAATAGAACTGAAAAGACGTTGCCGTTGTTCATCCTGTTTGTCAGATACAATAATTTATACCCCCTGGTATAAATTACTGCCAGGATGTTTTGTGGAGAGAATTGCCAGASCAAGGARGTGTGATGGGAAAGAGCATTCAGAMYKGGAA